AAATTCTGGTGCCTTGTTCTTTACCAAAGCCTTCAATGCACCTTGGACTTCTTTCTTCAGGATCATTGACTCTTCATCATATACTATCTCATGAAATGGTTGGACATAGACTATTTCTTCTTGGTACAGTGACTTTGTATTCCTTCCATCTTCTTTTGTTGCTTTCTGCGTTGTTCAATATTTTGCCCATAGATTCTTTTAAAACTGCAAGTTGAGGCTTGAACTTTTTCTTCAGTTCCCTTAGCTTGAGAAATGCTCTGTGTGTTTTCCCCTCTTGGTTTTCTAACTCCAGGTCTTTGTACATTTCCTTATAATATTTGGCTTTGTCTTCTTGGGCTGACCTTTGAAATATTCTGTTCAGCTCTTGTACCACCTCACTTTTTTTTCTTTAGCATCTCTGTGCTACAGAGCAAGTCTCAGACTCTCTTCTAGCATCCATTTTAGTCTTTTCTTTCTTTCTTGTCTTCTTAATGACTTTTTGCTGTCTTTCTGTATGATGCTCTTGATGTCATCCCACAACTCTTCTGGTCTTTGCTCTTTGGTGTCTAATGCATCAAATCTGTTCTTCAGATGTTCTCTAAATTCAAGTGGGACATATTCAAGGTCATATTTTGGTTCTCGTGGACTTGTTTTAATTTTCTTCAGCTTCAGTCTGAATTTGAGCAATTCAATATGAACAATTGGTGGTCTATTCCACACCCTGCCCCTAGCCTTGTATTGGCTGATGATATGGAGCTTTTACACCATCTCTTTCCACAGATGTACTGGATTTGATTTTTGTGTATTTCATATGGTGAGTCCATTTGTATAGTCATGCGAACTGGAAGGTCAGCAGTTCGAAACTACCAGCTGCTCCGCGGGAGAAAGATGAGGCGATCTGCTCCCGTAAAGATTTACAGCCTCGGAAACCCTATTCAGGGTCGCTATGGGTCGGAACCGACTCGACGGCACTTAACAACAACAACATTTTATGTTGTTTAAAAAGTATTTGCAGTGAAGAAGTCATTAGTCTTGCAAAAATCTATCATGTGATCTCCAGCATCATTTCTATCACCAAGGCCATATTTTCCAACTACTGATCTTTCTTCTTTGCATTCCAATTTCCAGAAATTATCAATACATCTTGATTGTGTGTTTGATCAATTTCAGACTAAGAAATTTATAGAATTCTTCAATTTCATCATCACTGGCTTTTGTAGTTGGTGCATAAATTTTAATAATCATGGTATTAACTGGTCTTCCTTGTCAGTGTATGGATGTTATCCTATCACATACAGTGCTGTACTTCAAGACGGATATTGATAGGTTCTTTTAGGAGATGAATGTGATGCCATTCCACTTCAATTTGTCATTCCCAGCATGTGATTGTATGATTAAAAATGGCCAATGCCAGTCCATTTCAGCTCACTAATTCCTAGGATATCAATGTTTATACATTCTATTTCATTTTTGACATTTTCCCTAGATTCATACTTCGTTCATTCCATATTCCAATGATTCATGGATTTTTACAGATTTTTTGTCTTTGTTTTGAGCTATGTCCCATCATCAAGTGAAGGTCTCTAAGGTTTTACTCTATTTGCCTCATCATGGTCGATTTTTCTTTGAGGAGGCAGCTTTTCCCCAGGAGTATTTTGAATTACTTAAAACATGAAGGGATCATCTTCCGGCACTATAGTAATATGGGATTTCCAATAGCTCATCTGTGGCCACAGAGAGGAGGATGCCTGATGGAATGAAGCCCAATATTCAGCCAAGAGGTAGATAAGTGTATAGGGCGACAATACCACTAATAAGGTATGCTCACCATGAAATAGTTAACCATTCAAGATCAAAAGAGCAACATTTATTAAGGACAAAGTTACAAAGGGTTGGGAAGGAAGGAGGGTGGAATGGAAATAAGAACCATAAGGAGGGAGTCAGATAACTATTGTTACATGGAGGGGGGCTGCAATCTTTGAGATGAAACAAAAGTATGATTTGTTGAATGTGAAACTGATGATCTGCTCTGTAAACCTTCACTCAATGCACAATAAAAAGTTTGAAGAAGTAAAAAGAAAGGAAGAAAGAAGGAGAGTGCCTGGCTCAATTTGGCTAATGGTGTAGAAGGTGAGTCAGTGTCCTTTCTCTCAGGCTTCAGTTTCCACACGTGTAACAACAACAATAACAATATGTAGATGGATTTGTGTGTGTGTGTGTGTTGGGGAAGCAGGGACTGTAGAATTAGATACACTTAGTTTTTCAGAGACAGAAGCTAGGGAGGTGAGTCCATGTGGTGGAAAGTACCTCAAGGTTGGAGCCTGGCAACCTGGTTTCCAGCCCCAGTTTTGTCCCTTGCAAGCTATTTAGCCTTCCAGAGGCTGGGGTTCCCGCCTATAATCTGAGGATCATGATGTGCCCCCTGGGTATTTGGGGAAGTATCTATAATGAGCTAAAGCAGGGAAAACCAAGAGTCCAGAACTTGGCAGCGACAAGGCAGGAAGGCATGTGGATGATGATAGTGATAATTGGAGATGCTGACAACCTTGGCAGCTACTCTTGAGTTGGGGGTGGTGGTGGTTGTTAGGGATAGTGATAAATATGGGGGTGAAGCAGGGTTTGAGGAATTGCCTTGGATAGGAATATACCACGGGGCTTCAAAAAGTTCATAGAAAATGGATTTTTTTTACAAACTTTTTGAAGCCCCCTCCATACTTTGGACATATTATCAGGAGGGAACAGTCGCTGGAGAAGGATATCATGTTTGGTAAAGTAGAGGGTCAGAGAAAAAGAGGAAGACCCCCAACGAGATGTATCAGCAAGGTGGCAGCATTGATGGACTCAAGTGTGGCAGCGGTAGTGAGGTTGGCCCAGGATTGGACATTGTTTCGTTCTGCTGTGCATGGGGCCGCTATGATTCAGTTCTGACTCGATGGCACTTAACAACAACAACAACAACAACACTCCCCTATAAGGAAGTGTACATCTCAACTCAAAGGATTCTTGGTAATCCTGGATTGGGGTCCCAGGAACAGTCAGATGACATCAAACCCTCCATCCCAATAATGGCTTCACCTGGGTCTGGTTCTGGTCCTCCCTTCCAGTTCTAGCTCTGAAATCATGGGTGGCTGGCTGCCCGTGGAAGTTCTGGACCCTGATTTGTTCCTAATCTATCTGGCTGTGGGTCTGGGTGGGACAAGCAGTTTCCACTTTTGCAGTGCGCCGCTCCAAGGCAGCGGATAAGGAGAGGAGTCGCCGTGCCCAGCGTGCCCGAGATGAATACTGGCACCACTCGCTACGCGCCATCCAGAAGGGCACTGTCGCGGGCCTTAGCTCCATGTTCCGGGAGCTAGGCCAGAGTCATCAACAGGAGGCCAGAGGCTACCATCACCTCTCAGGCTCTGGCCCACCGCTGCCTCCCACTGTGCCTGTCAGGTGGGTAGGGCATCCTGTCATGGGCGTGCCTGATGGCAGGGAGGGGGTGTGTGTAGGGAGTGTAGGAGGAGTTGGGGAAAGGTAAGGAGGAAGCGGTAAGGGCATAGAGCTTCCATACTAGTCTCTGACTCTGACTTGCTGTGAAATTTGGGGTGCTCATTTCTGTGGGCATCACTTTCCCAATATATACAATGGAGGTGGGAGGTAGGAGGCTGTGCTTCACGATTTCTACTAATTCTCAATAGTTTCTTTGAGATGCTGAAGAAAGCAGTGTACCCTCTCCTCCCAACCCCTCATGGGCATATGTAAATACCCACAAATGTTTGCTTACACTGCCACGCTTGTAGATATCTCAGACCTCCAGATTGAGATCTTGTACTGGCTGCTGTAGTTATCATTCAGTGAGTCACCCAGGTGGCCCAGCAACATGCTGATGAATAAGCAGACCTAGGCAGTGGGAGCAATACCTCCTGTGGCTGCCCAAGGAACTAGTGTCTGGGGCTACAACTGCTTTCAGCGCTGCAGATGGACCCTGGCCAGCATGTGCCTGTACACTTGTGAGGAGGTCTGGAGGCACATGGCTGATGGGAGGGCATTGCAGGGGCAGGAGATAGTCTTCTGACTTTGCAACCTCTTGGAGCATCCCATCTGGACGTTCATATTCTGGTGAATCAGATTCTTTGCTTAGACACAGAGGGACAAGAGTGAATGAATGAATTTCCTTTGCTGTTGTTGATAACCTCCTCTTGCCTTCTTTGGAACATGAATCCTGGAAACAAGAAGGTTTTTCTTTTCTGGTCCCTGAGTACAGTTACTTATTGAGGAGTGCAAGTGAAGAGGAAGAAGGTGGAACAGGTCTGTGCTGTGCTAACTGACAAAGAGGAAAGGTGTCAGTAGTTGACATGAAAGGAGTCTGCAGAAAGCAGGGACTAGGGAGGAACCATGAGGAACATGAGGATGAAGAATGGATTCCAATGAGGAAGGCTTTTAAGCTGAAGACTCACTCTCAGTCTTTCTTGCAACATCTTTTCTAAGATGGACATTATTTACACGGTTTTTAACTGTGTGTTAGTGGATTCATTTGAGAGCAAATAAAAATAATCCAAATGGATTTAACCTGGGGCTTGCAAGGAGGCATTGAGCTCAGGGTCAAAGAATTGTTGCAGGGCAAATAGAGACTCCAGAAGGAGATAATTAAATTTATTTTGTAAAAATAAAATGACAACGGTGGTGAACTCTAAATGCCGTTGCTTTGTAGGTGTTTGTTAAATGTCATCGAGTCGGTTCCGACTCATAGTGACCCTGTACAGGGTTTCCGAGGCTGTAAATCTTGATGGGAGCAGAAAGCCTCATCTTTCTCCC